TCCCTTGGTATCTCTAATTTTCTTGAAGAGATCTCTAGTCTTTCCCATTCTATTGTTTTCCTCTATTTCTTTGCATTGATCACTAGGAAGGCTTTCTTATCTCTCCTTGGTCTTCTTTGGAACTCTGCATTCAGATGGGTATATCTTTCCTTTTCTCCTTTGCCTTTAGCCTCTCTTCTTTTCTTGGCTATTTGTAAGGCCTCCTCAGACAGCCATTTTGCCTTTTTGCATTTCTTTTTCTTGGGGATGGTCTTGATCCCTGCCTCCTGTACAGTGTCATGAACCTCCGTCCATAGTTCATCAGGCACTCTGTCTATCAGATCTAATCCCTTGGATCTATTTGTCACTTCCACTATATAATCATAAGGGATGTGATTGAGGTCAAACCTGAATGGCCTAGAGGTTTTCCCTACTTTCTTGAATTTAAGTCTGAATTTTTCAATAAGCAGTTCATGATCTGAGCCACATTCAGCTCCTGGTCTCTCTCTCTCTCTCTCTCTCTCGCTCTTTTTTTTTTTTTTCGCTGCTTGTATAGAGCTTCACCATCTTCAACTGGAAAGAATATAATCAATCCATGAGCACCCATATTTGATGCTCTCAGGGGAGCACCTAAGGGACAGGATTTCACTCCTCCTTGACAGTGATGCTTGTATCTTTGGTACTCACGGCACCTAGCCAAGGTCTATCATGCCTCAGGCACACAATACATGTTAAGTATTTAGGAACAATAAGAAAACTATATAATGTTACTATGGTGATTTAAATCTATATAAAATCATCTATGACCAGAATATAACAACTCTATAAATTTGATTATAGATCACTAGGATAGAATCTCTTTAAGAAGTTGTATCATCTTTTTGGCTTCTGGGGTAAATCAGCCTCTTCTCATCTAGTGATACAACATGCAATGAAAATCTCACCTCAATGTCCTCCCTGACTATGCTTAAATAGTGAGAAAGAGGCTTAAATTGAAAGTTGTGGTATTCTCAACTCCATAAATGAAGAAACTTCATGAAAAGAAGATAAAGTAGGTGCGTGAAATAGGTGAAAGGGATTAAAGAGGCACAAACTGCCAGTTACAAAATAAATAAGTCATAGGGATGCAAGGTACAGCATAGGGAATATAACACTGTAATAACGCTGGTGCATAATATATGAAAATTTTCTTGTTGTTCAGTGCAGTATGCCAGGCTTCCCCAACCCTCACTATCTCCTAGAGTTTGTCCAAGTTCATGTCCATTGAATCTGTGATGCCATCCAACAATCTCATCTCTGTCACTCCCTTCTCCTGCTCTCAATCTTTCCCACCCTCAGGGTCTCTTCCAATGAACTGGCTCTTCACATCAGGTGGCCAAAGTATTGGAGCTTCAGTATCAGTCCTTCCAATGAGTATTCAGGGTTGATTTCCTTTAGGATTGACTAGTTTGATCTCCTTGCTGTCTAAGGGACTCTTAAAAGTCTTCTCCACCACTGCAATTTGAAAACATCAATTCTTTGGTGCTCAGCCTTCTTTATGGTCCAATTCTCATGTCTGTACATGATCACTGGAAAGATCATAGCTTTGACCATATGGACCTTTGTCATTATTAAGTTGTACACCTGAAACTAATAATAACATTATAAGCCAACTGTACCTCATTTATAAAGGTAGGACAGATGAAAGGATTTTTATTTACAAAAAATAAAAAATTATAAACTATTTGCTTTTGTGCATTACTTTAAATTTACCATTCTGAAGAATTTCAAAGTCTCTTCAAAATGATCTAAGGTTTCTCAACTAACAATTGAGAAGACTAAAGAGTCAGTTGGACACCAAGGAGATTAAACCAGTCAGTTTAAGGGAATCAATCCTGAATATTCACTGGAATATTCACTGATGCTGAAGCTGAAGCTCCAATACTTTGGGCACCTGATGCGAAGAGCTGACTCACTGGAAAAGACCCTGATGCTGGAAAGACTGAGGGCAGTAAGAGAAGGGGTGACAGAAATGAGATGGTTGGATGGCATCACCAATTCAATGGACATGCGTGCTGTGCTAAGTTGATTCAGTGGTGTCTGACTCTTTGAGACCCTATGGACTGTATCCAGCCAGTCTCCTCTGTTCATGGGGGTTCTCCAGGCAAGCATACTGGAGTGGACTGCCATGCTCTTCTCCAGGTGACCTTCCCAAGCCAGGGATAGAACCTGCATCTATTCTGTCTCCTGCATTGCCAGCTGGATTCTTTACCACTAGTGCTACTTGGGAAGCCCCACTGGACATGACTGCGGGCAAACTCTGAGAGACAGTAAAGGACAGCAAAGCCTGGTGTGCTGCAGTCCATGGAATCACAAAGAGTCAGACATGACTTAGCAACTGAACAATAACAATAAACCATTACACATGCATTTATTTTTAACCAAATACATGAAAAAATGTTTTCTTCCCAGGAAAGTTTACATACCACAAAATCTTAGGCAAGTATATACTACCAAGGGCGGGTGGGGAGGAAATATGTGTTTTTTAACAAGACATGATAAATGTACAAATATTCTTGAACATAAGGTGGAAGTAAGACAATAAAACTTTTCCCTGATGAAAGAGACTGCTATTCAAATAACCAAGTGCGATTAAATAACTAGATTTCTCATACATAGATTTCTAATACATGTTTGCTTTTTAAACAACAAAAGAATAAGATTACTTGTAAAATTTTTCTTTTGCCACATATGAAAATGTTTATTTACATTGATGTTTACTTTCTTTAGAAACACTGAAAAAATCTGTTCTCTCATTAAAGAAGCATAAATAACAACTGAGTTTCCTTAACATTGTAAGTTACCTCTCAGGTCTTTCTTGAGTTTTCTGAGGTCTTTTTGAAAATCTTCAAACTTCATCTGCGAGGCCTGAAAGAGGTCCTGGGGTTCAGGCAGTGGAAACACACATTGTTCTTTCCCAGCGTCCTGGTCAGCATGAAGCACAGAACATTTAAATAAATGAGGACAGAACAGCAGCAGCAATGACAGACAACATCAAACACGACCACATCGCTCAACAACAAGGAATAACAAAATGTGACTCTGTGAACATTATCTCACCTCATCAAAATTGCGAAGATAATATGACACGATATATGACAACAGGCTTCTGCTATTGTCCTAGGCAGAGAGACCAAAGTGAACAGAAATACATTTTTAAAAATGACTAAATACACGGTATTAAATAAAATTCATCCCAGTAAACCCACCCATGTAGATGAGACTATTTGGGATGGAAGGAGACATTCTCTGTTTTATGTTCCTATCGCTTAATGGCTCAGACGGTCTTGTCCTGCCCCGCTCTGTTCCCACCTGAGCCCCAAGTGGAAGCACAGCTGTTTCTAGGGTTGTGTTGTTTCAGTTATACACACCTTCCTGCCTTCACCACCCTCAACCAGAAAATTAATTCATTAATTTTATTTATTATTATTAACAGGTATAACTACTATCTAAACAGAAATGACTAAATAACACCAGCATTTCTATATGGCTAAACCAACAGGGACCACTCCAACAGGAAGCTTGACTGAGGTTTATTACTAAGTAGATTAAGAAAATTTAAAAGTTAAGTATTATCTCAAGTAAGCTAGAGCTTTAAAAATGCAAATTCATGTTATAAATTATGTCAGTAACTTAGATTCAAGAATTAGTATCTATGCAGCTATAAAAATGCAATGTATGTAGTTCTAAAGAAGAAAAACTGCTTCATATCTAACAATCTTCAAAGAAGACCTTTCCACCTTCTTTTCTGGCACATTTAGAGGCATTAATACATGTTTTTTTTTTAATTCTCAAAATAAATACTAGATAATTGGGATGTGTGAAACCAAATACATATTTTTTAAAACATACCCTATAAAAACACTTTGTTTTCTGGAATATTCAATACAACCATGACTTTCCTCTCATTGATAAAAAGAGCAACATTCCTTTATAAACAAGTCTGACAGGATATGATAATATATCTATTAGGCTCCCTGATGGGCTCCCCTGGTAGCTCAGATGGTAAAGAACACGCCTGCCAATGCAGGAGATGTGGGTTCAATCCCTGGGTCGGGAAGATCCCCTGGAGAAGGGAATGGCAGCCCAAACCTAGAAAATCACATGGATAGAGGAGCCTTGTGGGTTGCAGTCNAAAAGATTTCCTTCATCATATAGATCTTTGTGAAGCTTCTTTAATCTCTGTCCTTTAGAAATAAATTCTATTATTTTCAAAGTTTACAATGTCAGACTTTAACCATAATCATAATCTCTTAGATGTTAATTTTAAGAAAAATAATTATGCTTGCAAGAGGGCTTAGATGTTCCTATGCCTACCAATATCAGGAAGAAGATCATATGGAGAAAAAAATATTTAAGAGATAATTCTCTTTTTCTCCATATAATCCTCTCTTTGATACTGGTAGGCATGAGAACATCCTTTAGGAAGCTTAATTTTAAAAAAAATTCTACTTCTTTACTTGTGCTTGCTTAAAATTAATGCCTAAGAGATTATGAGAGTGTTGGTAGAAATATAAGATCAAGGGAACCACTAGAGTGGCTAAAGTCTGACATTGTAAACTTTGAAAATAATAGAATTTATTTCTAAAGGATAGAGATTAAAGAAGCTTCACAAAGAGGGCTTAGATGTTCCCATATATACCAATATCAAAGAGAAGATTATATGGAGAAAAAGAGAGTCATCTTTTAAATTTTGGGCTTCCCTGATAGCTCAGTTGGTAAATAATCCACCTACAATGCAGGAGATCCCAGTTCAATTCCTAGGTTGGGAAGATCCACTGGAGAAGGGATAGGCTACCCACTCCAGTATTCTTGGGCTTCTCTTGTGGCTCAGCTGGTGAAGAATCCGCCTGCAATGTGGGAGACCTGAGTTTGATCCCTGAGTTGGGAAGACCCCCTGGAGAAGGGAAAGGCTACCCACTCCAGTTATTTTGGCCTGGAGAATTCCACGGACTGTATAGCCCATGGGGTCACAAAGAGTCAGACACGACTGAGTGACTTTCACTCATCTTTGTTTTGTTTTTAAAATTTGGGCCTGTTGGGGGTCACTTGCTTAACATGGAGAGAAGAAGAAAGTGATGGATATACTGTCTAATTCATAAAAATTAACTAGTCCTCAGATCCAAATATATAAATATTAGCAGACATGGTAAAGGAAGTAAAAATTAGTTACTTTTATTTTAAAATACTGTCTATTCAGTTATTCATTAGATACAGGGTTCAAAATTACTCACTTTAGGAAAATTATTCTTCTCTTGATCACAAATATATGATGGCCATCACCTTTATCTGGCTCAGAACATAATAGAACTTTTGACCTTGGAGTATAAACATTTATCACACCGGTTTACAGTTCAACTTATTACAAAGCAGACATCCACTCCTCAGTTTGCTACATTCACTCACTCAAAATACTTACACTGCTTTTAACATCTTTCAGCTTCGGGAGAATATCTAATCCAAAACCGTCTGCCTGTCCCCGAGTATTATTTCCACCATTCATGTAGTTGCCAAAGGCAAGAACCAAACCCAAAACCTGCATAACCCCTGAGCCATGTTTTAATGTCTGCAAAACAGGATAAAGAAGAATTTCTCACTTACTGTTTGAATTTTCATAAGTCAGTGGCAGATATTCATATCATACTAATAATTATGGGTCATATCCAAACTTCATCAGTGCTCATTTTAGGTTTATTTAAGAACAGCGTCTCCAGAGATAACTTTGAAAAAGCTGCACCACTAACAGCATGCAGGTTGTGCTTCTTCAGCTGAGAGGTATCAGCCTAGGATGCTTCTCTGGTGTAATTGCAAGGAAACCAAATACACCCATAACATGAGAACCACCACAGTATAATATCACTGCCATCAGTCCAACTGCACCTGCCTCTGGGTGACATTTTTAGCATAACGTGTGGGAAACTGAAACACAGTTATAAAGTTTAATTTCCAAATTTAGATTTATCCCTAAAAGGTTCACACTCACTTCTTCCAAAACGCACAGTTTAACTTGAATTTGTGTATCACTTCCTCTGAAAATCTCTTTAATGACATAATGCTACTTTTCAACATAATTTACCACAACCAGAATAAATGGTACTATTAAATTTTGATAAACTGTTTTAGATGTTAATATTGGTCATTTCTGCCAAGCATTTGTTCTTTATTTTCAGAAGAATATTTCTCTTCTGTCCAGTCATATAGCTATTCCTGAAGTATTTGGTTGGAATCACTAACAATTTGTTGAGGGGGAATCAAGAAAATGTCTTCAAATGGTACTCAGTTGGAGGTATTTACTGTAAATAAAAGACAACTTGTTTGAAATATGAACATGACTAAGCACAATTAAGTATCAGAACCCAAGCACCCACCTCACACAACTTCTGTAGCAGCTCCAGTTTGCGCCGAATTGAGCAAATGCTTTCTGAAAATGTGGACTGAAACAGGATGCAAAAGACTCGCTCTGAAAAGTTGGGGATTAGTGACAGTTCATAAAGGAACCTAAGGAAATAAAGCCAAGTTAAGAGGAAAAAGACGATGCCCATAAACACATTCATCCTCACGTCGTTCATGACGCTGATGCACAGAAGATACTGCATTCTCCCAATGGAGAGAGCCCCCCAAGGCCCGCTTGCTGCCCACGGCCCACGGTGTGCTTACTGCTCAGGTTTGTCCAGAGACTTGGCATTCTCCTTGTCTTTGGAGGACCGACCATGCTTTTCAATTTTTTCCAGTTCATCTGACTGTGCTCTCTGGAAAAACAAAAACCAAGCAGTTTTTAGATAATGATCTTAAATATAGCAAAACTCTACATATTTTCATATTTCTTAGCATCTGTTTGAGGTAAAGCTTGACTTAATTCATGAGGTATTTTAAAGTGTATATGTGCGATGCAAACCAGAGCATCTCCAAATCTTCCAAATATTATTGGCTATCAAAGTGAAAGTGAAAGTCTCTCAGTCATGTCTGACTCTTTGTGACCCCATGGACTCGATAGTCTATGGAATTCTCCAGGTCAGAATACTGGAGCGGGTAGCCTTTCCCTTCTCCAGGGTCTTCCCAACCCAGCGATCGAACCCAGGTCTCCTGCATTGCAGGCAGATCCTTTACCAGCTGAGCCACAAGGGAAGCCCAAGAATACTGGAGTGGGTAGCCTATTCCTTCTCCAGCAGATCTTCCTGACCCAGGAATCGAACTGGAGTCTCCTGCATTGTAGGCAGATTCTTAACCAACTGAGCTATCAGGGAAACCATTATTGGCTACTGATGATGTGCAAAATATTTATTCCAGCATGGTTTAAATCAATATGATTTCCCTTTCTTCTTTTTTAGCTGTTTATAATACCCTCTGGAGGGACTTCTCTGGCAATCCAGAGGCTAGGATTCTGAGCTTCCACTGTAGCCAGGCACAGGTTCAATTCCTACTCAGGGAACTCAGATCCNAGATATGTTTACAACTTCTGCAAGAGAAAGGCCACGCCCTGTGTATCTCTGTGGTCCTGGTGACCAGTATGATTCATGATGTAGTCAGCCCTCTGCATCCTGGGCTCCAAATTCATGGATTCGACCAAGTGCAGATCCAAAATATTTTGGGGGAAAATTACATAAAGTTCCCAAAGGTAAACTAGAATTCACTGCACTCCAGCAATCATTTACACAGCATTTCCATCATATAAGGCATTATAAGTAATTGAGGTGATTAAAAGTATACAAGAGGGTAGGGTGGGGTGTTCTATGCAAGAACTGTGTCATTTTATTTAAGGGACTTGAGCATCTTTTTTTGTATCAATCCTCCCTCATGCCCCCCTCCATGCAGATATCCAGGGATGACTATATAGCTGTTGCTCAGTTGCTAAACCATCCCTGCCTCTCTGTGACCCATGGACTGCAGTATGCCAGGCTTCCTTCATTATCACCCTGAGTTTGCTTAAACTCATGTCCATTGAGTCAGTGATACCATCCAACCATCTAATCCGATGTCACCCTCTTCTCCTCTTGCCCTCAGTTTTTCCTACCATCAGGGTCTTTTCCAAAGAGTTGGCTCTTCATATCAAGGGGTCAAAGTATTGGAGCTTCAGCTTCAACATCAGTCCTTCCAATGAATATTCAGGGTTGACTTCCCTTATGATTGACTTGTTTGATCTTGCATTTCAAGGGATTTTCAAGAGTCTTCTCTAGCATCACAATTCAAAAGCTTCAATTCTTTAGCACTCAGCTTTCTTTATGGCCCATCTCTCACATCCATATATGACTACTGGAAAAAAACATTGCTTTGACTAGATGGACTTTGGTGGCAAAGTGATGTCTATGCTTTTTAATATGCTGTCTAGGTTTGTCACAGCTTTTCTTCCAAGGAGCAAGCATCTTTTAATTCCGTGGCTACAGTCACTGTCCACAGTGATTTTGGAGCCCAAGACAGAATATATACACAGTTTCCACTTTTTCCCCATCAATTTGCCATGAAGTAATGGGACCAGGTGCTGTGATATTTGTTTTTTAAATGTTGAGTTTTAAGCCAGCTTTTTCACTCTCCTCTTTCAACTTCATCAAGAGATTCTTTAGTTCCTCTTTGCTTTCTGCCATTAAAGTGATATCATCTGCATATTTGAGACTGTTGATATTTCTCCTGGAAATCTTGATTCCAGCTTGTGATTCAACCAGCCCAGCATTTCACATGATGTACTCTGCATATAGGGCTTCCCTGGTGGTGTTAGTGGTAAAGAACCTGCCTGCCAATGCAGGTTATATGTAAGAGATATGAGTTTGATCCCTGGGTAGGGAAGATCCCCTGGAGGAGGGCATAGCATCCCACTCCAGTATTCTTGCCTGAGGAGAATCCCATGGACAGAGGAACCTGGCAAGCTGCAGTCCATAGGATCACACAGATTTGGACACAACTGAAGTGACTTAGCATGCATGCGAGCACTCTGCATATAAGTTAAATAAGCAGGCTGACAATATACAACCTTGACATAGTACTTAGCAGTTAGTAAATTCTTAAACCATTAAAAAATTAAATCAGTAATCCAAAAGGAAGAAAGAAGGCCTCCAAGTCCAGAGAGAAGACAGCGGTAAAAGGAGGAAAAATAATGACAGGACACTGGAAACAAGAAACAGTGAGGACGCAATGACATGCAGAACACGCCAGCTGTTTACTGTCACCTTAAGTACAGTGAGAGTCCATGTGAGGTGATGCCAATCCAAAACAGACACCGAAGCATGCATGAGGCAGAATTAGTTACGTCAAGTGTTAGGACACAAACAAGTAGATAAATAAAGTTACACTCAGCAAAAGCACGTGTGAATTCACTCATCTGTATATTCATTCAATATCACTCTCTCATGTAGGAATCATCAATCTGTTATGCAGGAATATGTGTATAAAGGTGTAAGAAGTAGGGCTAAAAGGGATGCCCAGGTGGCACAGTGGTAAAGAATCTCCTTGCCAATTCAGGCGATGCAAGAGACGTGGGTTCAGTCTCTGGGTTGGGAAGATCCCCTGAAGTAGGAAATGGCAAAAGACTCCAGTATTCTTGCCTGGAAAACTCCATTGACAGAGAAGCCTGGAAGACTACAGTCCACAGTGCAGCAAAAAATCAGACATGACTGAGCGTGCGCACGCACGCACACACACACACATGCGGAGGACTAAAACACCATAGATTTTTAAGCAGTATTCATCAAATCTACAAATTTTACTATTCATCAGTACACTAAGACCAACTGCTCCTTCTAGCCCATAACGTCAGTTTTCTCCTTGCAAAACTTGTTCAAAACTCGCAAAACAAGAGTCAGTTATTTTCTACCTTAAGGCTCCAAATTCTTTTCCTTATCGGCAACCATCAACTATGTTTGACTAGTGACTACCAATCTGTACAAGAACCTAAAGGTCATCCAGATAATTCTGACCCTGTTTGACCCCCAAAGTGAATTTAGTCTCTAGGGTTCTTCGCTGGCCCATAAGTCAGGTTTTAAAAAGGATGAGTATTAGGGATTTATTCATCCACCCATTCAAAGGCCAACTGATTACTAAGCATTACACCAGATACTGGAGATAAAAACATATATACTGGGCTTCAAGTTCAAGGAAAATCCCACCACACAACATTCCTTGCTGCTCATAACACCATTCTTATTTGTTCAACCCTGCTACAGTGATCTTCCACTGCTTTTAAAACTGTATGTAACTCTTTCTATATATCAAGGAGGTGCTAATGAGCTCACTATCATTCCAGAGTTTCTGCTGAAATAGGTTCTTATGGCCAAACATATGGATAATGTATCTACACATTCACATATTAATTAACCACATAAAAGAATTTCCAAGTCCCAAACATTCAAATGACAAGCCCTCCCTCTCCCAGTCTCACGAGACCAAATCGTTTCAGTCTCCAGCACAGGGACTGCATACCCCTTCCCACTCCCACCCCAATTATCTGCAGGTCTGTACCAGAATTTCCTTTTCCCATGATTTCCTGTCTGCCTAAAAACGAAATAGACCTATTGCTGCTAAGTTAGAGGCTTTCACTAAGCACTCACTAGTTTCACTACTTTTCACTTCGTTACTCACTAAGACTCACGGCACCTAACACCCCAGACAAAGCTCTCACCCAACTGCTGGCCAGAACAGATGGAATTCCTGGCTGCCAGGAATCACCACGTATTTTGACCTCCATGATCCTAAACCAACATACCCTGCAACTGATGGCTGCTCTTCCAACTCCTGAGAGAAACTGTAGCTCCCAGAGAGGAGAGGCTTGGGAGCAGTTACGCAGAGGGAGGGGAGGCTGTCGAGAGAGATCATGTGCTTTTCTGTGGCCAAGTCTGTTGACAGTGCTCAACCAGTGTTTCTCAAGTGGGGTTCCAGGGAGCACTGGGGTTCCAGGGTCCTGAGATTCATTAAGAATTGCTGGGTGGTACATACTACAGTAATAAGGGCGGTTCCCAGGTGGCTCCGTGGGAAAGAATCCGCCTGTAATGCAGGAGACATGGGTTCAATCCCAGGGTTGGGAGAATCCCCTGGAGAAGAAAATGGCAACCCGCCCGAGTATCCTTGCCTGGTGAATCCCACGGACAGAGGACCCTGGTAGGTGGGGTAGCAAGAGAGTCAGACACGACTTAGTGAGTAAACCACGCCACGCTAAATAAATACTTCCAGAAGTCATGTTTTGGAAAGCGCTATGTCATTTTGACAGCAATCCTCATAATCAACTGACTATAAAACAAGTGTGTGTGTCAGAAAGAGACAGAGAGGATGTGATAGAAATGCTCCTGAAGACCCAGGGTTCCAAGGGACGCAGGTGGAAACACTGTGCAAGCCAGACTTTCACCAGCTCCCTCACTCAGCCTCTACCATTTGCTCAGTATTTTATACTCAATCTCACCTGCAGACCTTTGCCTTGATCCTCCAAGGGCATCAACTCTCGCCCTCGTGTCTGCCGCATGGCATTGCTTCCTTTCATCACAGCATCACACCCTCTGTCCCTGGACTTCCCCTCACCCCCAGTGATCCCCTCCAGCCCCCTCACCTGACCCGCACCCACCCAACAACCCGGGACAAATGTCTTCAGCCTGTGTTTCTGTGATCAGCTCTGGTTTTCCCTCCACATCCACACAGGCAACTACCTCCTAGACATTTTCATCTGGACATTGCAGAAGCATCTTGGACCAAAACACTCTGAAGATAAGCTCATGTCTTCTTCAGTGGTCCTGATGACAGTAAAGCAGGAACGAGTCGCCCAGCTGGGAGCTGATGAACTGCTGAGTCTCGGAGCTGCTCACTGTCCTCCACTCCCCCTGCTGTTCCCTCTCCACACCCACAGTCTCCGTCCACCCACGACGCGCGGGTCCACCTGGTCCATCACATCCAAGGCTCGGATACCTGTCCTAAATGGTGGGCAGCCTGGTTGTAAAGATGTGGATCTGACCCTGTGTTCCCATCACCCCCATTCATACCTGTGTCACAGTATCCTGTGGAGGATATTACTATCCTTACTCTTGCATCCACACAGAGACCTTGGGCCCCTGCTAAGCTCCCAGGGTCTGCTCCCTTCCCCGCCCCCTTGTCTGTGCCCTGCCCGCTCCCGCTGAGCAAGTCTGTCCTCACCAGCTTCCCTTCAGTTCCTCATCCACAAACCCCGCATCCTTTATCTAGAACATCCCCCACACCTCTCACCCTGGCAGCACCCACAGCCACCTGGCTTCAGCTCTAGCCTCTCTGCTCTGGGGAGGCCTCCTTCACCCTCCACCAGCCGCATCCCCCTGTATCATGGGAGCACTGGAGGAATGCACGTTTCCTTCAAACACACATCACAGCCGTGAACAGATACATGAGGCCCAGTGCCCAGAGCAGAAAGAAACTGAGATAAGCACATGGATAACGTCAATTTTCTCCTCACTGAAATAAAGCAGATGGTTAATAAACACAAGATGAAGTAATAATAAAAGAATGGAGCTTATGACACATGTAAATCACTGTAAACTCAACTGTTTTCTTTCTAATCTCCTGTCTCCTCGTTCAGTCTCTTTCCTCTTCTTTACGCAGTGGAAACAGTGGCCACCAGGAGTGGAGACAGTGGGTGTCTGATTCTGGAGAAGCAGAGGTCACAGTATGTGGGGACGTCAGTCGGCAATGCAGTCCTGCGCTGGATGCGGGCTGAGGGAGCCTGCCCTGGCCTCTGGGGCAGGGTTACCGTCTCTGCTCCTGTGCTCCTCTGCCAGCATCAGTGGTACTATCCTCTCCCTGTGATTTGCCTGCATGCCTCCCCTCTCTCCGCTCCCCTTAGTTCCTCCTTCTGTCCTGCCTGAGCTCCAGACTTCCTTCTCCTTCTTTCACAGGCCTCTCTCTCCTTCTCCAGCTCAGAATCTTGGAGGTAAACTGACTTCCCTCACTGAGTGCTTGGTGTTTGAATCCCCATCATCTGGCTTTTGTTCTTCCACTAAGCTCAAAAATGATCTTCCTGGAGCCAAGAGTCTCACCTATAGGAGAACAAGAGCTGCTGTCTGTTGAGCCCTTAGGAGCAGGCAGGCGCCTGCAAGGTGTCCTGTGTGACAGTGTCATGGGGCCCCGACAAACAGGCGCCATCACCAAGAGGCTCACCTCCAGTGCATGAAGAAAACGCAGATCTCGGGCCTCGTCCAGTGAGCACAGGTGCTGAAGTCCAGGCCTTCACCCATCTCCTCCTGACATCAAGGGCCAACATCAATGTCTCTCCACAGGAGCTCTACTGAGCCCCAGGCTGACTAATGAATGGGTCTGGGGCCTTCAGTTCAGTTCAGTTCAGTTGTTCAGTCATGTCTGACTCTTTGCGACCCCATGAGCTGCAGCACACCAGGCCTCCCTGTCCATCACCAACTCATGGAGCCCACCCAAACCCATGTTCATTGAGTCAGTGATGACATTCAACCATCTCATCCTCTGTCATCCCCTCTCCTCCTGCCCTCAATGCTTCCCAGCATCAGGGTCTTTTCAAATGAGTCAGGTCTTCGCATCAGGTGGCCAAAGTACTGGAGTTTCAGCTTAAGCATCAGTACTTCCAATGAATATTCAGAACTGATCTCCTTTAGGATGGAGTGGTTGGATCTCCTCACAGTCCAAGGGACTCTCAAGAGTCTTCTCCAATACCACGTTCAAAAGCATCAATTTTTTGGCGCTCAGCTTTCTTCACAGTCCAACTCTCACATCAATACATGACCACTGGAAAAACCATAGCCTTGACCAGACGGACCTTTGTTGGCAAAGTAATGTCTCTGCTTTTTAATATGCTAAGTTGGTCATAACTTTCCTTCCAAGGAGTAAGTGTCTTTTAATTTCAAGGCTGCAATCACCATCTGCAGTGATCTTGGAGCCCCCAAAAATAAAGTAAGCCACTGTTTCCCCATATATTTGCCATGAAGTCATGGGACCAGATGCCATGATCTTAGTTTTCTGAATGTTGAGCTTTAAGCCAATTTTTTCACTCTCCTCTTTCACTTTCATCAAGAGGCTCTTCAGTTCTTCTTCACTTTCTGCCATAAAGGTGGTGTCATCTGTCATCTGGGGCTTTAGACACCACCAAATATAGGAAAGCTATGAAAAATGCAGGGAAGGTGACCGAGCAGGAACTTCACAACCTGAGGAATGATGTAAGCTCCTGGACTTTCTTTTCTCCTTCATCCCTGACAGGTGCTAGAAAGGCCTGGACACAGGACCAGCTCTACATAAAAGACTGGGGAAAGGATGTCTGGTAGGAAAAAAAAAACCCTCATTTTTAATACTTGTCAACCAACCAAAAACAAAAAGAAAAACTGACCCCTCTTGGAATCAGTGTGGCCGAGTGGAGAACCAAATATTCCCCCTGACCTGCAGGGACGTGGTAAAGCTGGTTGGCAGGAGGCAGTGCTACCCAGCAACCCACTGCCCTGACCTCCTCCCTGGTGTCTGAGGAGGGGGCAGATGGCACTCCTACCCCCCACCCCAGCAGCAACAAGGCAGAATGAGGTGGCTCAGAGAGGTGACAGTGAGCCTATAATCTAACAAGAAAATGGGCAAAAGACAGAGACTTCACTGAGAGAACACACAGAAGATAAACACATGTTAAGATGTCATTTACAATTAGAAAATTGCCCATTAGAATCATGAAGAGATATTGCCTTACATTCATCTATTACAACAGCTAAAATTTTTTAAATGGTGAGTAGCAAAATTAGATCTCTCACATACTGACTCGGAGAATATTAAAATGGTACAGCCATTCTGTGGTTTTCAGTCTGTTTGCCCTCTAATGGAGAAGGATAAGAGGCTTATGAAAGCTTCCTGATGAGACAGACTGACTGAGGGGGATACTGGGTCTTGTTCTGATGGGCTGGGCCATGTTCAGTAAATCTTTAATCCAATTTCTGTTGAAGGGTGGAGCTGTGTTCCCTCCCTGCTATTTACCTGAGGAGAAGTCAATGGCACCCCACTCCAGTACTCTTGCCTGGAAAATCCCATGGATGGAGGAGCCTGGCAGGCTGCAGTCCATGGGGTCGCTAAAAGTCGGACACAACAATTCTTTGGAACTCTGCATTCAAATGGGTATATCTTTCCTTTCCTCCTTTGCTTTTCACTTCTCTTCTTTTCACAGCTATTTGTAAGGCCTTCTCAGACAACCATTTTGCCTTTTTGCATTTCTTTTCTATGGGGATGGTCTTGATCCCTGTCTCCTGTGCAATGTCATGAACCTCCATCCATAGTTCATCAGGCACTCTGTCTATCAGATCTCGTCCCTTAAATCTATTTCTGACTTTCACTGTATAGTCATAAGGGATTTGATTTACACCATACCTGAATGGTCTACTGGTTTTCCCTACTTTCTTCAGTTTAAGTCTGAATGTGGCAATAAGAAGTTCATGATCTGAGCCACAGTTAGCTCCCGGTCTTGTTTTTACTGACTGTATAGAGCTTCTCCATCTTTGGCTGCAAAGAAAATAATCAATCTGATTTTGGTGTTGACCATCTGGTGATGTCCATGTGTAGAGTCTTCTCTTGTGTTGTTGGAAGAGGGTGTTTCCTAGGACCAGTGTGTTCTCTTGACAAAACTCTATTAGCCTTTGCCCTGCTTCATTCTGTACTCCAAGGCCAAATTTGCCTGTTACTCCAGCTATTTACCTGGGACCAAACTATGGTGAAGTTAATGAATGGATGGATCACATCACC